GGAAAGACACTTTAGGAGTCCAAAGCAACACTCTCAGGGAAGTACACGTAAGGAAAGTAAAAGTAGATCTGCTTTTATTACTGTTGAATTATGAGGGAACCTGTAAATACGTTGCATATATGAACTATGTAATTACTAATGAATTCATTCACTTTGTGATTCCAACTGAATTGCAAAACTAGAATTATATAGAAGGAGGACTGATTCTATTGTTGTTTGTGCAGGTGCTGTGAAACTATTTCTACAGTCAGACAAAAAGCTCAGGACAGTCTTTTCAGAGCAAGGCTGACAAAGTTAGATGCACGTGCTTAATTCCTCCAGACATGACCCATCTATGCTTTTGAGTAATCTACTTGCCTCTACCAAGAATTAGATATTAATGTGAAATATTTCAGTCTGCATTGGGCCAAACACAAAATTTAAACCAACAAAACTACTGGCATTTGGAAAACCCACTTTTCTTATCAGTGTTAAAAGAGATTTTAAAATACCACAGAGATCAAAGCAGAGTAAAAACAACTTAATACTGGTTTTGTGTTCCAGTTCTTACCATTACGGTTAGTGCTGTAACAGCTGGGATGCTAAATGTTGGATCGCTGCGTTTTTCTTGATAGACTACTCGATACAGAGATATAACACCATTGGGAGAGACAGGCTGGGTCCAGTTCAACTGCACTGAGTATGCACTCGTTGCTTGTGCCCAAGGGGCTCCCATGCCCCGTGGGGAAGCCTCCAGAGTTTGGGTTGAAGCCCACAGGCTGTCCACTGACCCCACAGCATTTTGAGCTCTGACACGATATTCGTAGAGAGTAAAAGGCTGCAGAGCATCAGATGCATCAATAAATTCCAAAGCTCCTTCAGCCCAGATGAATAAAAGCAGCTCTTCTTGCCTGCCCACAGGACGTCTGAAATTAAATCAAAGGCAATGTGTTTAAAATTTAAAATAACTTTAACAGTCCCATGGTAGTAGATCCTGAAGTTCAACCTGTACCTATACATTACAAACACACAAGGAACTGCTTATCTATCTTTGCATCTTAAAAGCATTTCCCTGAACTTGTGTTAGGTGCTGAGTAGTGAAGATGAGATTTTTGAGGCAATCATTTAATTATTCTCATTTATCTGGAAGAATACTATAAAACATGCCAAACAAGCGTGCTGTCACAGTCCGTAGTAGTGGAGTAGCAACAGAACAGCGTATTGTCCTTTTAGGATAGGACACATCAGATATGAGATGTTCAGAATTTAGAACGTGAAATTTTAAATCCATGTGTAGTTCCTAAGTAATGACTTGAATTTCAATATGGCTGCAAGTTTTCAACATTTCTGAAAATCAAACTGTTTATGGAGATACTTACTTCAGGATCCCTCATTTATGGAAAACTTATGAACAATTTACTGGAGAAAAATGTTACCTAGTGAACAAAGGATAAATATTCCATGACGCCCTCAAAACCAAAGCCATGCACTTCTAAATTTTGGTTTTCTCATAATAAATATCCCATTCATACTTGTGAATGGTGTAAGTAATCCCTTGTGCAGAAAATTAGCAGAATTTGCAGCTCCACCACAAAAACTCATTAAAAAAACCCCCAACTCATGACAAGTAGTGCTTTCTGTAATAAAATACATATTTTTTTCCAATGCTGTTTTTGTTTTAAAATGCAAACTTAAGATATATGAAGACAATTCACTGTATAAGCTTTTGGCACAATGCAGTTTTATTTTTGTACATACATATCTGTATGTACAGACATATGCACATATGTATACGCATATATATGTATATATAATATTCTGACTGCAGATCTGCTTGTGTTAGACCTGGTGATATTCGGAGTATCAGAGGAGATAACAGATGATCCTCAGCCCCTTTCTAACGTGGTCCCCTCTAGTATATAATTTACAACAGTTGTAATAAGGCAAGCACTCATCTTTGAAACAGAGTTATCAAATCAATTCTTTCACTTGGCATAAAAATGTTTGTGTGAAATTAAGTTGGTTACATTTAAACACTGTGATAAATCTCAATGACGGTTGTGCTGTACTGCACATGAATTTAAGTATTTCCCCTACTCTTCACAGGAACCTTGGCCTTTGCAGAATGTAAAAGCACTTTCACCCTCCATGCCAACAACAAAAAAACAAATTACATTATCTGCCACTTTTATTGCAAGTAGGGCAAATTTTCAGAAGTAAAATTGGTTTGTCGGACTGCTGGGTGTCATCACCACTCCACACACCCAGATGCTGAAGAACATTTCTTTGGCAAGAGAAAAATCCCTATTTCACAGAATTCTGTCGGACTTTATTTTGTTAGATCAACCCTAGGAATTACTTTAAAAATACAAAACACAACATTTTTTTAAAACTGATAATCTTAGCTGCTTGTAATAATATATACCCAGGTATTTACATGCAAATATGAAGAATATAATGAATACATGTGTGTACACAGCTGTTTATTCATCCTTCATGTATATGCAGATATATAAGGCATGCATGAATACATTATTTTCTTATATGAAGCTAAAGAATTTTTGCTAAACTCCGAGATAAGCAGGCTATATGGACACTGTTTAGTTTAAAAAGTTTAAAGCGTGATTTAAAAAAAAAAAAAAAAAAAAGAAGAGTTTTGAGGTACAATGTCTCTCATGTAGTGAAATAGGCAATTTATAAGATTTGTTGATACTGAGACTCAGTTGGCAGAACTGGGTGAGGAATGGCAGGTAGAACAGGCAGGAAAGATTCCCTAGCAATTCTCTCTCTTGCAACAAAATGTCTGGAAGAGTCTGGGTACAATATTTCCCATTGACTCCAAGATTCCATCAGCTATTTTTAATACATTTCCCCATGCTCTATTGTAATGGCAAATCAAGCCTTATGCAGAACTCTCCCTTAGATGCTGTTCACTGACTTAATGCAAGACACATAATTCTGAAAGGTGAATCGCTACTATGTCTTTCTTCCGCACCTGAAAATATAGTCTTTTCCCT